CAAAACAATTACAGTAGTAAACAACTAAATTTCTCACAGTGGCACAGTTAAAGACAACTTTATAATGTGAATTTACAGTAAAACAAGAGCAGTATATTACTGTGATTTAGCATCATTCTGCTGTTCATTCACAGTCATTTGTAAGAAAATTACCCAGCATGCATTGATTTCAAAGCAAAGTTTTGACTACAGTAATTTATTGTAAATTAATACCCTTTAATCCTGTAAATTCCTGGCATTTTTTTTACAGTGTACTATAATAATTTAAAACAGAGTTATGTGGGTGGATATTCGCATTGGTCTGAACAAAAAATGCAGACGGGATTATTGAAAATGCAAAATCATTCTCTGCCATTAAGAGGCGCTTTTGGAACGTCAGAAATATAACGGTTTCCCCGGTAACGGTTGTAAACAAAGCAGCTGCACTCATAAACTCTACTTTATCAGATAAAATCGGTTGCTGGCGGGTAAAGAGCTTGCATTCGACGATAAATTTAGATTTCAAGTTCAATACTGATTTTAGAACTATTGAAATTATTTACAGTGTGTAACGCAAATTTATAATTAAATTAATTAAATTACCTAAAAATTAACAGTAATGCCTTACTTTACTTTTACAGTGGATAAGTAATTTAATTACAGTAATTACAGTTATTAAGTAACGCGTTACACCCAACAATGTAAAAGAAGCACGTTCAACTCAATTGAACGGTTGTCCTGGTAATAAATACCGTAAACATCAACCGTTCGGGTGTCAGCTCTTAAGGCCTGTTTACACCCAGAACAATAACTATAAAGATAAGAAGCACGTTCAACTCAATTGAACGGTTGTCCTGGTAATAAATACCGTTCGGGTGTCAGCTCTTAAGGCCTGTTTACACCCAGAACAATAACTATAAAGATAACTATATTAGCGTCCACACCAGCGGACGATATCATCTGTTTATTCCAAGCACACTCTCGTCTGCCGCTTAAAAGTCTCGAGCTTGTTATAGCAGGATTGTTTATGATTGGCTGTCAATGTTTTTATCGTTCATCAGCTGGAAAAAAATCATTCTGAAAGTGATTCCAACGATATCGTTTCTCTGTGCCTTTATCGTTATAGCTGTGGTGTGGACTCTGCTATTCTTTAATATTGAGAATGATTTTTAGAACTATATCTTTATCGTTATCTTTATAGTTATCATCCTTGGTGTGAACAGGCCTTTAATGCGCATCTCCTATATGAAAAGCATTTTAGGAGGCCTTGGCTTTTGGGGGCCCAAGGTGGTTGCCTACCTTTGCCCAATGGGTAAATCCACCTCTGCCTACGGCCGATTCACAGCCATGCTGATACAGAGCAATATCGCATGGCTATGAGTGTGATATTGCATTTATATAACAGTTTGACAGCACAAGTGTGTAAATAAATAAGAAACAACGAAGGAGTGTCTTTAAAAACATTTTGTATGCAGAATTACTTCTTTCTGCCACAGACTCAAATCTCAGTTTGACAGTTTAACATCTGAGCCCAAGCCTCCGTCTCTAATTCGCAAAACATCACTTTAGAACTAGTAATGAAGGAACGTTGAGCTGCTTCACTGAAAGAATATTGCATTACTGTATTAAAAGCTCACTGTATTCTGTAGAGTATTATTAGAGAGAGATGGACTGAGTGAGTGTGATTACCTGCATCTGATACAGCATTCATTCTTCAGCTCAATCTCACATTCACAATAAAACATTAGTCTGAATGTCCGCTGAGGAAAGCCATATGACTGAGCGAGTGTGATTACCTGCATCTGATACAGCATTCATTCTTCAGCTCAATCTCACATTCACAATAAAACATTAGTCTGAATGTCCGCTGAGGAAAGCCATATCTTTGTCGTACTGTCCTTTCATCTGTTAAGGGTGATTTCTGATGACAGTGCTGCTCAGTGTGTTTGTTGGCTGCATCTTAAAAGGTGTTGTTGAAAGTAAAAATAATTTCCTTGTTTACAACCCTGTTTCAGCCTCTTTCAACATAAAAGTCTTTACTGTTAAATAAATACTGTTAAATACTAACTCATAAAAACAGTCTCTTGTCGCCATCTAAAGGTGGAATAATGTAACTAAACTCACCATCACGAACACACACACCGTTTCCCAATACTAAATACTATTATTAACCCTCTAAGCGCCAAAGTCGCAAAATTGCGACAAGACGTCATACTTAATCAAAGACTGTAGTTCCTAATATGGTGTAATATCTCATTTGTATTCCCTACCACTAGATGGCAGACATGTAGTACTTCGATTCTAGACCAAAATTACGTCACCTTCCTATTCAAAGTGTTTGAGGAAATAGCAGAGCAAGTGAGCTATCGTGTCATTGATGCGGAAGCAGTTCAGTTCATAGCGTGCGGGTAAGCTGTGAGATTTGTGAGAGAAAATCGCCAAATGGCTAATAAAAAGTTGTACCGTGAGGATGTGTTGCAAATGTTTATTGAATAATAATATTTAATAAACAACAACAACAACAGCCATCATAAAAGTTGCTGGGCAATTCAGTCAAAAGTACAAAGGCAGCGCTCTGATATACAGCATTAAAGTTATATAAAAGTATAAAGTTATGAGACTTTGCCCTCAGCCAAAACTATTTATTCTGGAACAAATAATAGATTAATGAGACCAAAGATTGACCGTTAGAGTTACCCAAAGCAAATTAGGGCTGCAACTAACGATTATTTTGATAATCGTTAGTTGGTCGAATTTTTTTTTGATTAATCGGATTAAAAACAAACAATTTTCTTTTTTTATTTTATTGACAAAAACACACTATTCCACATTCTGCCCAATGTCCTTAAAACAAACGTGCCAACTGAATGCTATGAAAACATACAGTGCTTAACAATTTATTAGCCCACCTGCCATAATAAAGAGAAAACACATTTTAGGAATTTTAGGAATCTGTCAAAAAATTGTTTAAAAGTTTTGGGCAGCTTGGATCACGTACTTCTCCCGCAGCATCTCATTCTGTTTCCTCCACTGTTTTAGATGCATTTTGTCCATAGAAATAAGTAATTCAGTGCTTTAATTTGACGCGACCGGCTGAAGTTGGACAAGTATGTAAACTCCGTTGGACGTGCACTGTGGGCAGACCCGATTAATCGATAATGAGAATCGTTGTCGATGATTTTCATAATCGATAATAATCGATTTTATCGATTAGTTGTTGCAGCCCTAAAGCAAATTATAACTCATATTTAACCAATATACCGTAGAGACACCAGAACCAGCAGCAAATTCCAGAAGAACTGGCCGAGGTAAGGCTGCTCTCGGCGGGTTCATGAGCATTTTAATATGAGCTCAAAAATGTATCATCAAATTCTTCCTAATTATCTCTCACTGTGCAGTATGTCAACGACTGTTTCATTTATGTGTTTATTTCTCTAAAGAAATGTTACCAGTAATCTCTAAGGCATAAAACTTTCATCCGGGCAGCTGCTCTGCTTTGGTAGCGATACAAACACGAGCAGAAGACATCTAACAGTGAACAAAATAAAACATGTATAAGAGTAAGAAGTGTGTCTAGAAAGGCAGAATAAGGCAGGTGGTCTGTAATCTCCTGTGCTTGTGAATATGAATGAGATGTGTGTTGCCTCAGTAAACACATATTTGAACAGAATCCTGATGACTTGTGTTAGATCCCAGTGACAGACGCGTCTCCCTGCTGAGTCACGGGGCACAGCAGAGTTTAAATGAGCATATTGCTGTGTCTGGACTTCAGGGGGATTTTCTCCTCTCAACTGAGGAGGACAGGTGCTTCCTGTAGAACAGCTGTTCACAAAAACAGTTCATTTCCTTTTTCTCCTTTACTTTTTTTCCCGAATTTTGCCACTACTCTGTAGACTAGAGACATGTCATGATGGCCAAAGAGTTTATTTAGTTTTTTTTCTTTCTCTAATATACTTATATAATTTAATAAATAAATAAATAAAAATACAAATTGTTCACTCAACCATTTAAAAGTTTGGGGTCCATTGTGGATGAGTTCTTCTGTGTCATCACGTTCTATTAGTTGTACAGCTTCAGTTTCGGAACTTTCACGCTTCGTAACACGTACAGCTGTTCCCTCACCACAGTGCACCAGTGAAAAGGGACCCCTTTCAAACAGTGTCGCGTTCCGATTTTTATTCAGGAAGGATGCATTAAACTGATCGAAAATGACATAATGTCATAATGTTATATGTAACAAAAAAAATCTATTTTAAATAAATGCTGTTCTTTTGAACGTTCTATTCATCAAATAATCCTGAAAAAATGTCAAATATTCATAAAATAAAAAATAACTGTTTTCATCAATGATAATAAGAAATGTTTCTTGAGCACCAAATCAGTATATTACAATAATTTCTTAAGCATTGTGTGACACAGACTGGAGTAATGCATTGCAATCACAGAAATACATTTCATTTTAATATATTTTAAAATAGAAAATAGTTATTTTAAACTGTAATAAAATTTCACAATGTCGCTGTTTTTACTGTATTTTTGTTCAAATAAATGCAGCCTGGGTGAGCATAAGAGACTTTTTTCAAACATTAAAAATCGTACTGACCCCAAACTTTTAAATGGTATTGTATAATCAATGTTACTATTATATTTAATATTTTCAGCAGTGGCGGTGTATGTTACTTAGGCTCCGTCTAGCAGGTTTTTTTTAAAACAAGAATAGACCTTATGAAATCGCCTCATAGAAAATGTGTCAAATTAGGTAAAATTGTCTAATTATATGGGATTTAAACCGATTAGTCGATTAGCTGTTTAGATGATTTTGAAAATATGTCGTTTTGCAAAGAAGAGCAAGAACAAGCAGTGATGGTGAGATGAGGAGGGAAGAGGATCTCCAAATGTCGCAAGCACTCGCAGTGTTACGTCAGCACCATACAACACAGAGGACAGAGGTTCTGACTTTTTCCAAATGTTGGCAACAAACTTTGTTAAAGGTGTCAGGAGCGGCTGTGTGTTTGGCTTACTTGAAGAGCTCTTGTCTGGAGATGGCTCTGTTGGTGAGAGGGTCGATGGCATACACCTGGAGGTCTGATTTGGTGTAGTCCTCAAGTTCATAACCTTCTCCGTGTCGCCGAGGACCGATCGATTCCACTATCACTTTAGCACCAGGGATCTGATCTTGCACATAGCGCTCCAAAATACTGACAAAACAAAAGCATAGCAAATAAAATTCCTTAATCTACCTAAAACATTAAAATGCAAATTCCACTTACTTAATTTCTAATACTTCTACCAAACACTGAAAATGATCTGTTTTTGCTAAACCTGAAGGGTGAATCTCACAAAACATCCCAAAATGAAAAGAAGTCATTTTTTCCTTATTTAAGATGCATGCATTTCACATTATCTTAACTGATTATTTTACATTAATGAACATGAGAATTGTCCTGTCAGATTTTATAAATAAAATCCGCTTTAAGACAATATTTAATATTTTAATACAATAATTAATAAATGCTAAAATATTTAAATAATGTGACTTTTTGTATTAGGGTGATAGGGTGATTTTGAAATATAACAGTGTGAGATTCTTCCTATAACTCATGCGTAAAGCATGCAGAACAGGTACTATACTGAATAAATTACATTTTACTGTCTCCAGTTTGCAATATGTATACCTGACTAGTATTAAAAAAGCAATCATTTTATCTTTTATTATGATTATTCTGCAATCTACTGAGCAAAGTGGTTCTATTTTGCTTATTTGAGTTTGCCATTTGAGCTCAATTCTGTGTTTTAACAACTGAGATGGCCTTTTAAATCAAAGCAAGTGGGAAAACAAAGGCTACCGACAGTGCAGGAAATGCCACTCAAGGAAAGCAGCAGTGCAGAAAACGCACCGAGGGAGGAATTCTCACCTAATCAGCTGCTCTTTGTTCTCCTCCACCACAGTGGGTGGCACATTAGAAACCACAACTTGCATGTCCAAGGCATTGACAACGGACACCTACAACCCACACAGAATACGAAAGAGACAGAGGATTTGATTCATGTGGTGCAGTTTATATGCACAGGTGATACAGGGCAGCCTGACAGAGCTAAAATAATCCGATCATGATATTCTCCAGCATGATGATGATATATTTCTTAAAAGAGTGATTTTTTTTAATCAGAGGAATGTTCATTTCAAGCAAACATTTACTGTTTCCAGGCAGATTCATAAAGAGTTTTGCTACTTTGCCATTGTTGCTGTTTAAAGCATCACAAATAAAACACCATTAAAATGTAAACCTGAAAAACTTTGTAATATTTTGGAAAATGTTATGGCATAAATGTATTACATTTACTATGTGAGCTTTGTACAGACAGTCAGGTGGTCTTGCTTCCATTGAAGTACAAGATGATCATCTGGTTTTAAATAAACTTGTTTTAAGAGCACAAATATTAAGACATTTTTACACAAGACCAAATTTATATGAATTTTTCAACACTCATTTTCAATAAAATCATGTTCATAATATACACTACTATTCAAGAGCTTGTGGTCAGTAATTTCTTTTAAAAATAAATTATTAATTTTATTCAGCAAGGATGCGTTAAGGACAGCAAAGACTACTGCATTTATAATGGTAAAATTTATATTTCAAATAAATGCTGCTCTTTTGAACTTTTTGTCTTTCTTTCAATCAAATAATACTGAAAAAGAGTATCCTGGTTTACACAAAAATATATTAAGCAGCACAACTGTTTTCATCTATGATAATAATAAGATTTTTTTTCTTGAGCACAAAATCAGTATAATATTTCTAATTTAGACACTTGAGACAAGAGTAATGATGCTGAAAGTTCAGCTTTTCCATCACAGAAATACATTACATTTTAAAATATATTGAAATAGAAAACAGTTATTTTAACTTGTAATTGTATTTCATAATATTACAGTATTTACTGCATTTTTGATCAAATAAATACAGCGATGTTGAGCATAAGAGACTACTTTGAAAAACATTTAAAAAAACTTAATGACCACAGACTTTTCAATGGTAGTGTAATTTGCAATGAAAATTGATTAAATTAGTACAATTTTCACACTTTGTGAGTTAGACCCCACTGTATACCATCCAGCTCAAGTGCTATTTGCGTTTGTCATGGTTTTTAATTCTGTTGGTCAATAAGGGTGTAGCGTCCCGATGAATGCTTTTAGAATCACTTTCTACACCAGCAGAAAATTCTACTGCTAGTGGAAATTGAAAATGACACAAACATTAATGACATGATGTTTAAAACCCTGATGCACACATCAGTTCCAAAATCCCTCTTATTTTATTTGGCGTTCATTAGTCAAGAGATTTCTGGGAATTGCACAAGTCACTGGCTGCAACACTTCAGGAGATACAGCAGCATAAATAATTCAGCTGACACAAAATTTATGACACAGTTTATTTATATATTCATTACTGCATTAAGTAGTGCACAAATACCATATGCACTCCTGCACGCAAACATTTATTCAAACATAATCTATTTACCAAACCAAATCGACACTCTGGAGAGATATTTTCCCTTAATAACAGTGCTGATTGTTGTTATGCAATTTAGACTCTTTTTAAATTATTCAGTCAGTGATTTGACTTGAACCCCAAACATTCATTTTGGATAACCTGAGGGATGAGAGAAAATGTAATTTCTCAAAGTGACTTGTTTTGAGTGGGAACTCTCAGTTGTGTTCGAATCATCATTTTGCATGAGGTGCATGAACAAACACACAGGTCAAAGGTCACGTGCACTCACCACCACATCAGCCCTGCTGCTCAATCCTTGCCCGTAGTTGTCTGTGGCGATGACCTGAAACTTGAAGTAGGACCGGCGCATGTTTCGGAACATGATGGCGCTCTTGATGACGCCGGTGTACAGCTCAATGACGAAACTGTCCTGCCCCTCGGGCGTGGGAGGGATGATCAGTCTGTAGGCCATCTTACTGTAGTTTCCTGTGTCGACATCTGTAGCCTGATACACATGAAGTTACATGCAGAAACGTCCATGGAAACAAATATGTCTTTGAGAATTTCCCATTTTCTGGCTATTAGGTCTGTCAATTACAATTTTTAATCTAACTAATTACATGATGTCAAATTAATTGCAAATGAATCACACATTAATTTTGGCTGAATAAGTATTCCCCAAAGGATCATTTATAGTCATTATTGTGTTAGATGAGAAAAGCATTGAACAGACATTACAAAACGTAGCTTTAGAAAGAAATATTCTGATTCAGCCTTGCATAAAAAATAACAAATATGAATGTTTATTAAAGGTATTGTTTTTTTTTTATTTTATTAAAAAAATAATATAAAAAATATGAAATTATGACATGATTCATGATATTATGAAACTAAAACCGGAGGCAAGTTACTGTCTTAATGAGTGAGTCACGCATTCATTCATTTAACTGATTTGTTCAAACAGCTGATTCATTCAAGAACGAAGAAAGTGACTTGCTTGCTTGCTGTGGTTTTGTTTGCAACTATTTTCATTTGCGAAATGGTACAAAACAGAGTATTGACTATATTGTGTCTAAAATTGAACATTATTAACTTCTTGTTTATTGAACTACTTGCATAAAATCAATATATGTCAATAAACGTACAGGTCTGGGCCGCACCTGGTGCGATAAATTCATTAATAACTTGAACACGTTATTTTTTCCATAATCAATTACACCAAAGTAATGTATTAAATCAACAGCACTACTAGTTATTTAAAAGAACAAGGAACTAGAATACTTTAAAGGCTTAAATAAAAAATAACATTTTGGCCAAACTATCCCTTCAAAAGCCTTGCTGAAAGAAAGCTCTGCAGCCTCCACTTCAACAATGACCTAGAAATGTAATAATCCCCATATATCATCAGATTGTATGCCTTAATGCTTTTTATAGATGTTAAAAGTCTCAATTTATGAGAAAACGGTCACCTTGCGGTAGCCTAACACACAGATCCCGGTGGGTATTTTACAGGTGTCCGTCACTTGTCTTCCACATTGTCAGAATGGAGAGAGAAGCTGTCTAAGTACAGTTACTAAGATGTGGGGGGAAGCGAGCAGATTTGAACAGCGAGCGAGAGAGATTGTACTCTAGTGTTGACAGGTGTGTCAAGATGTGAACAGCAAGTTCTTCGCTGTAAAAATGAAATATAATGTACTGCAGACACCAACACCTGCAGAACATTTCAAACCCCATGAATGAATCACCACTGTTCCAATGTATTCTGCTGGTATTGTGCTTAACAACACTACCACTCTAAATGTGAAAACACAACAAATCATATTTAATATTATGATTCTGCAGTTAATGCAATGTCAAATTAAGTGGGAAGTTAAAACTAATTTGGAAAATATATAGATTTAAACTTTGGGCTCAGGAGGATTTTTAATCTTTTTTGTAAAAAAAATATGTTAGTTATAAAGGACTTAAAAAATAATTAAATTCAAATAAATGCTGTTCTTTTATACTTCCTATTCATCTAAGAATCCTGTAAAAAGCTTCACAGCTTCCACAAAAATATTCAGCAGCACAACTCAGCAGGATAATGTGAGACTGAAGACTAGAGTAATTAAGCTAAAAATTCAGCTTTGCTAAACTACATTTTAATATATATTAAAATAAATAGAATATTATTAAATTGTAATAATATTTTACAATATTGTTACTGTTTTTACTTTCATTTTAATCAAATAAATGCAGACTTGGTAAGCATAAGATTCTTTTAAAAACATTTCAATGAATTTCAAAAGAATTCTCTATCATTATTCATCCATAAGTCAGATTTCCCTGTGGAACAAAGAAAGAACATTTCTAAAAAAAAAAAACCTTGATGCCTCCATCCTGCATATCTAAAC